TGTCTTCGACCCATTGGTCGCATGTGGAGATGAGCTCTGCGATGGCTAGGGGATTTTCCTGAGCGGCGAACGGCCAGTAGGAAGGAAGATCCGGGAGGAGGACTGTCTGGGTTGAATGGGCCATGGTGATGATGTTGTGAGTTGACCTCGACTTGTAGGTTCTACAGATTAAATACCTTTTGCGCGTCGCTGGTTGTTGTGAGCCGGGATTCTTGCCACCGGGGAGTGCAGTACGCGACGTGGTGAACGGTTCCTCGTGGCCTTGCTATTCACAAGGTCCACATTAGTTTCCGAGTCGAGGAATACTGGGCTTTTCTGTCCATCCATCTATCCTCAGATTCTTTCCCTTTATCGGAGGGGCATGAGGATCACACACGTCGGCTCATTCTTCCTCAGCGTTTCATCTCACCCGCCACGTTTCTGCTTTAAGCCCAAAAACCCTACTCTAGGAGCTAGCGCGACTAGTCGTTGACATTGTGAAGCCAGTGCGGTTCACGGTCAATGTCATGGTCATTGTCAAACTATCCTGAAATGCACACCGAACTCGGGCCGACTAGTAACTCACTCCGTGAAGACGGTTATGAATAACGCGCGAACTTCTTATCACGGGCACCCTCACGCAGATCTTCCATTATGTGATTGACAGCTTCAACGGCAGGACACTAAACGGACGGTGATGCAATGATTGTGCTTTACCCGAGAATGTCGTGCGGATACAGTTCTGTACGTGCCGATAGGAAGGAAATAGCCTTGCATCCACTCGTACTACGTTTCGAACTCTAAGATCTAGACCCACCCGACCAGACGTACTACTAAGAAGTCATCAATTACTAATTATCAGATACAGAAGGCGAATTCATCCGCCACATCGTGCTGGTGAAAGCTTTGCGATCTCAAAGCCTCGCATCCTCGGTGTCTTCGTGTCGGTGAACGCTTCGCATGATGAATTCAAATACATCTCGCTTCGATAGTCCACGATCATCTCCAAAATTACGCGTATCCTTGCATCGGACTCATCACCATCCCGCCGGTTTAAGTCTCCTCAGATAATGTACCTCCTACTGCTCTGCGCTCGTGAGTCTTGAGAAGCCTTCAAAGGTTCCCAAGCACTTTCTGTGCCTAATCGTTGATATCCGGTGTCATGGAAAGTACCAGTTTCCACCTGGGTATACATGTTACAGCCTTATTCAGGTTGCCCATCGCGAAATGGCGACATTGCGAGAAACATGGACCGCAAGCATCTACTCCGACGTTATGTGGGGTGGAGATAACACAATGTACAGTGAAGAACCACCAAAGTGACAGAGGTGATGGTCATCAGACTTAGCTCAATCTTCTATAGGGCACTTTACATAGCGCTGTGTTGATGCGAAGCTTATTATTGAACTTATCCATGGCTATTGAAACTGATTAGATCCAAGATTGGACGGACTAGCGCAGGTGCGAGCGAACATGCATATGGCGCATGCCCCGTCGACCCAGGGTACTTGGCGAAAACAAATTTCAGGTCACGATCACGTGTAGTTCATCCCTTTCGCTTTCAACCACCATCTCTGCCAATATGCTGCAGCCAAAAACGCCTAGTCGTAACCGCACCCGCTCAGAGGCAAAGACGCCGCTTACGCCGTCAGTCGTCGCAGGTGTTAATGGGGTCTCGCTGGCGTCTTCGCCGTCGAAGAGACGGACAAAAACCAAGTCAACGACAGGGCCGTTCGATATGTCGAATCCTTTCATATCGGCAGCCGGTTCTTCGCGCTCCAGACCGGGATCGCCCGTCAAGTTCCCCAGCGCAGCGGATTTGCAGCGACAGGCGGCATCAGGCGTTATAAGGAAGGGTGGCATAGAGAGCAAATTGGATGTCGTCAAGATGGATTATGTTCCACCGCTAAAAAGCGAGTTGAAACGGTCAAAGTCGACGCCTGTGAGTAGCAATTGCCTTTCTTTTGACTGGTCTAACGACACCCTAGAATCGTGCGGGCTTTGACCACCAAGACCGGTTTATTACTACCCGCGACCTCGAGGCGGATGTCGTCGCTGGCTTTGAGAAGATGCACATACAACCGCAGACTGTATCGCCTGGACACACAGCTCGCCTTGTAGAAGCTACCGGCGTACCTTTGAACCGGCGTATCCTGGGATTCCATGAGCCACCTCCCTCTGCCACCTCGGACAAAACTCTTGCCCTCCAAAGAGACTATGCGAAACCACTCTATGCCTCGCGCCCAGGAACCTTAGCCTCGTCGACAGGCGTTGTGACCAACAAATCACGTAAAATTCCCTCCCAACCAGAACGTGTCCTTGCAGCCGTCAACCTCATGGACGACTTTTACCTCAATCTCGTGAGCTGGTCCTGTCAGAACACGGTAGCCGTTGCCCTGGGGCAGGGAACCTACCTCTGGTATGCCGACACAGGCGATGTAAACACTATCGCGGAGGCTGGGGAGGGCCTGTATCCGTCTAGCGTCGAAATGTCCAATGACGGATCGTTCATTGGCGTTGGGATATGCAACGGAGATGTCGAACTTTACGATGCCGAGACTGCTCAGAAGCTCAGGACGATGGGCGGACATCAGGGACAGATCGCAACCCTTGCGTGGAACGAGCACATCCTCAGTTCAGGGTGTGCGGATGGCAGTATCTGGCATCATGATGTTCGCGTGCCCCGACATAAAGTCATGGAACTCCTCGGTCATACCGGCGAGGTCTGCGGGCTAAAGTGGCGATCCGACGGAGAGTTGCTTGCTAGCGGTGGGAATGATAATGTTGTCAATGTCTGGGATGGACGACTAGGCGATGTTGGAGAGAACGCGCAAGGCAAGGCCAAGTGGGTCAAGCGAAACCACACTGCAGCTGTCAAGGTAAAGCGTTATGTCTCTCACTTGCGCGCCGGATCTGACTCTCTTCGTAGGCTGTAGCTTGGTGTCCATGGCAGCCCTCTCTTCTCGCCACCGGGGGAGGAACAAACGACGCTTCGATCAATGTCTGGAATGTCAACACCGGCGCACGCGTGCACTCGCAAAAGACACCAGCGCAGATCAGTACCATTCAATGGGCGCCACATAAGAAGGAGATACTCACGACGCACGGATACCCCACCAATTCGATTATGATTCACGCGTACCCAAGTATGGAGCGCGTCGCAGAAATTCGAGATGCGCACGACTCGCGGGTGCTGTTCAGTTGTGTCAGTCCGGCAGGAGACATGGTGCTCACCGGAGGTGGAGACGAGTCCTTGAAGTTCTGGAAGATATGGGAGGTGCCGAGCGCCGCGACGAAGAAGAAAAAGATTCATGATTATGATGACAGACCACAGCTGAATTCGACCAGGTCGAACGTGCTTTCTATTCGGTGATTAATATTCAAGATTTGTTATTTATTGTGCCACGACTGGCGATCTTGCATACGTGAACTACATAGTTCTAATATGGACTCATCGCGATACATGTTGTAGCTCTTCTGCGGACTAATTGGATACAATGACCATGATTGATTGCCAGAGTCTCTTAACACGCTTTAGTTCAGATGGGGATATTGTACACGTTTGGGATTCGAGTGAGATAAAAAGCAGGTAGGCATATGTAAAGAGTAAAAGTAAGGCATAGAGCATAGGGATCATAGAGGAGTAACGGGAGGCATAGGTAGTAAGTACAGAGATAAAATAGTCAATTAGAAGCGAACGTGAGCATTACGTGCTGCACGCCGAAGCAGTATCTTGAGGTTGAAGAAAAATTGAGGAAATGAAACTATGTCGTAGTACCATATCCAACCGAGGAAACAGAGGAACAAGCAGAGAGTGAGGGCCACGAGGATATTGTCCCATTGTTCGTTGGACATGGTTGGTAGCGGGAAGCGTATGACGGGTTGGAGGAGCATGAGGATGCATGCGCGTAATCGGCGCTGATAGACGGTGAGGCGCGATACGGTGGGTTCTATGAAGCGTATCGTCAGGTCTAGTGATGGAAGAAGAAAAAAAAGGGAGAACGACTGACCAGTGAACTTGATACAGCGCACGCGGTCTGTGTTGTTGTACACTGCGAGAGCGGACATCCAGTCTGGATCGGAAGGGTGTTCGACCTTCCACTTCATTGGGTGGATGGGCTGTTGGAGATGTTAGGGGCACTATATATCATCAGCGAACAGTTTCTTGAGGGAACTAACAGCACATGTCTCGAGGCCCCATTGGCGGCGCAGCTTGCGTAGATCCAGACCGCCGGACGGCGGGAGCCTGACGAAGGACTCGATGTCCGGCTCGATATCGCGGTAGAGCTTGGTGATATCGTCGTAGAATGCGACGCGTATGAAGCTGTATGCTTAACGATTATGACGAAAGTGAGGAAGAGAGCACGTACTCTGACGGGGGCGGATGGTCCTTGTACTCGTTCTGCCGCACGCGCCACATGGGGTCTTCGTCGAGCGTGCGTATGCGCAAAGCGGCGTGCTCTTGGGCGAAGGCGTGAGGAGGAGAAAACGGTCCTCGAAGAGTTTGAGGAGGCGCGTGTATGCGCTCTCTGCGGAGGGTTTGGCCTTGGACGAGTACGGATTGAGCCGTCGTCGTCGACCGAAGAAGTGAGTGATCGAGTCCATAGTTGGGGGGGTGGGGGGGGAGAAGTCAATATTCAGCTCGACAAGCAGCTTCATTTAAGAGGCGAGTACAAGGGCTTCCCCCGTCGTTACAAGAACAAAGTTGTCAAGCAGAAAAAGGAAATCGAGGGCCATGCATGACCTTTTGGCGGACAAGACCGGGGTTCCCCTTCATACCGAAATCGAACAAGGTGCAGCGCTTGTGGTTGAGTGCCGGAAAAGGACAAGGGGATATGAATTCCCACGCCATCAACGTGTTGTGTATCGACCAGTGGGAAATAAACATGCTATTCATTACGCGCACTTCCAGTCTTCAGACATGCCATGTCAAACATCCTGGATCTCGAGCATCCTCAAAAGGATAAGGGTACATAGGATTCTCAAGTCTTAGATCATAAACTCAGGCTTCTTCAATACATGGCAAGATGGCCGAGCGGTTAAGGCGTGTGACTCAAGCGCAAGCTTCTCGCTCATCGCGAGTTCTCATCATCGTATGATGGCGTGGGTTCAAGTCCCACTCTTGTCAAGTTTTTTGCCTGTTCTCAGGATGAAACTTAATATTTTAGTGTGGCGCCGCCGGTCCGCCCCACTAAAGTCAGAAGTGTTACCTTAGTACTTAGGCCACTACCACTATCCACGTCCAGAGAGAAGCAACTGCCCCCTCAGGAGTGCTTGTAATAAGTGTGAGTCCAGACTACGTTGATATCTACAGAGATGCCCAGATACGGATACGGTAGTAAAATGATATTTGCGTATGTCACGCTATAAGCCCTTGAAGTTCTCAGTCGACTGAATCGCGACTGACGCCGTTGTGAGCAGCTGGCAACGAGTGAACTACTAGAATTTCACAAGGACGAGTAATAGGTTTTTCCTCAAATACATTTGCCTGCTCAGCACTCTGCTACTAGCAAGTCGGCTATCAGAACTGATAACATCTCTGGCCTGTCTCGCATCTTGAAAATCATCCAACGTTGCATTAAATCGCATAAACAGACAACGAAAGTGAATGTACAACATGCAGAGGAGATCAATGCGTCAGAGTTGCCCAGGCTGAAGGAACTGGCTTTTGTCTCTTGTTCTTTCCATCGCTATAATGACATGAATAATACGCACACAGAGATAAAAAGAGGACATACGGTTGTACTGCAGTAGTTTCTCGATGAGGTCGACATGCGTCAAGACCATGCGTCGACAACAGTATCGTTTCAATTGAAGATCGTCCAGCGCTTCACTATACGAGAATCAGGAGAGGCGAAAGAAATGCAATGGACGCACCCTTCGCTCTTATCCTCCGCTAAGAGCTTCAAATATGCCGTCCATTTGTCTCCGACGACTTTTCCGCACGAAAAACAGCGTACAGGTATAATCTACACGCGAGTTTTCAGCTGGTTGAGCACCCTACGTCGTTGACATTGAACAAACCATCTTCGAGATGACGGTGTGATCAAAGAAGTGGTCAACGCGGCTTGATCGGGCCGGCTGGTGACATTTGCTTTGGACCATCATCATCATGTTCGCGTTTCGCTGCAGACGATACCGCGCTCCATCTTCACTGACGCGGCGCTTGGTCTCAACTCTGTCTAATGCGTCTTCTTCGCCAAGCACCCTTTCGCTGCGCAATCCAACAGACACATCCACAGTCGTACATGTCGAGACACACAAAGGGTACAACGTCGCAGAGTGGTCAAGGCAGCGGCCTATGGACCAGTTCATCTCGTACGGCCATTTGGGGACCATGTTTTCCTGCATTACTATGCCCCAGCGGACGCTGCTGCGCGTTCCAGAAATCCCATCAAGTATCTGCACACTCGGAACGTCCAACAAGTTTATTCCGTGCCAAAGGCTGCAGCGGACGCTGGTGTGCGTTCCAGAACCCTTAACAGATTTCCGCACAATCGAAACGCCCTAAAAGTTCATTCCGTGCCAAGGACTGCGCTCCCTACGTCCCCGACGAAAGAGACTCTTTCTCTTTTTGTGGACGCTGCTGCCATCGCCCGTCTCGGTTATGCGCATGCTAGTCGCTCTCTCAAGATTCATTGGAATGGCCCTGCTCAGCTTACTGAGCAAGAAATGCTGTCAACATTAACCAGATTCGGGTTCTTGGAAAATGCTGTAGCGTATGATGATCGTGATGGAGAAAACGAGGTCCTCAATGTTGTCTTTTTCGACGAAAGGGCGTCCTCATCGGTAGGAATTCATTACTGACTAAGCTTTGTATGCTGATAACCCTAGTTCTTTCAAAGTGTCATCGATGACAAGATTCCAGGCCTTGAAGGCGTGACTATACGCTATTCATTGGACCCCTCCGTCAACAAGAAAAGGATCACGGAAGGCAAAGAGGAAATACGGCGTGTGGATATCGACCTACGCGAAGCAGGGATGCCAACGTCAACCGCAACGCTGTTGATGCGCGTCAATCATCTACTGGCAAGTGAACTCCAAGTGGGAGAACGCGTACCCGTCATCTCTAGAAATGATTCTGTGCGTTTTTCTCTCCGGCTTATCTCAACACGCCTTCCAAACTTGCCCCTAGAAAGTTTCCCTCTTTTTCCTGTATCCTTTCTATGCGCAAAAGTTTTATGAGCTCGCGCAGGACTTTGCGAAGCATTGGGGCGTCACGCTACAATTGGCAAGCGCCAGCAGCATGAGTTTTTTCTTGAAGAAGGCGATCCTTGCTGGGGCATGTCGTACACTCAAACTGCGTCTGGACCGTGAGGTGTCAGAGCAGGAACTCTACCGGGACTTCTTCACCTTTGTTCACCGCCCGGGTAGAACTGATTCATTTGACGACCTGCGTATTGAAATGCGACGGTGCGTGGTATCATTCTGAGTGCAGGTATCTTGTTCATCTAATCTAGGAATGTGGCTCTTATTGAGTACAACGATATTTATCACGCACTCAAGGCCGTACATGGATTGACGTCGGGCTTCCATACTCTCGGAGAACGGTACACAGGAATGGAGATATTGTTCCATAATAGTGTGTTACCCACATATGGATCGGTCGTTGTGTCAGCACGGTGAAATCAGTGCTTCGCTTGAGTCCTAGCAGTCGTGAGTTGGGTTTCACAAGGATTATTATGCACTCACAAACTGTGGCATAGATTTCCGAACGTGCTGGATGGGGAAACTCTAGTTATTAAGCAAGTGCGATAATAAATGAAGCATTCTATCTAAATTTATCTAGGCTTCGGAATACCTACCCTACCCTACAGCATGACAATCCGCCGTCTCTTAACGTCCTCTCCTAATTTCCCAAAATACCGTTCGGTCCTGAAGCACCACTCGATCTGGCCTGCAACGCCGACAGCGATTCCCTCAAGCAACGCGTTCACTGCCGCTCCAATGAGGCCGGGAAACGCAGGCACGTTTGCAAAGAGCTCCGAGAACTCTTTCGTCATTTCCTGGAACCGCTCCCCGACGTAATCCAATGCACTCTGAACGTCCAGTTCTTTTTCTTTCATTACGACGACGACAAGGTTGTGGTACGGGTCGTCTGACCGCAGCTCCATAGGGAAAGAGTACACGTCCTAGTAAGGCATCAGTAAAGGATGAGGGCCAAGCGGATTGACATACGTTGATGAACATCATCAATTCGATAGCAAGGTGTATCATCTTTGATACGAAGGGGTGTTCGTACACATCGTCTGGAAGGTCGTGTTGAACGAGGATCAAGTCTAGCGATGGATGCGCTCCGGACCCGGCTCTGCGCACTCTCAGGTATTCGTCGATCGACAGGACATTCCGGTTATCACGCTCGAATGCTTGCCGGCACGTACTATCCAGGTATTCTTGGAAGTGCTGGATATAGCGCTCAGCAGTAGAGCTTGTGCAACGGGCATCTTCGAGCGTCCGGATCCAGAACCTGCAGGAAATGGCGTCAAAAAAAGGACGGGGAATTGGGATATGTAGACTCACTCTCGAGTCATCTTTCCGAGGCAAGACTCGTCCAAGGACGCGTTGTACGGGTGTCTGATTGACGTTGAGGAGAGCTCGTCGCACAGGAATAGCGGCATGATCATACCGAAGCGCATTCAACACCTCGTCGCACTGTTTTCGCACCGTAGGTCCGTCATTGCCATCGGTGAGCTGGTCAATGACGTAGTATAGATGCATCTGCTCTATCCCGACGCGTACATGCGCCACGTCGCGGAAGTTGGGATAGGCCAAAGATGCAAACAGGGCAAACTTGCATCGCATAAACGAGGAGAGAGGCCTTGCATCGAATGACGCGGTCTCTTGAACCCATCGGTCGCATATGGAGACGAGCTCTGCGGTGGCCAAGGGGTTTTCGCGAGCGGCGAATGGCCAGTAAGATGGAGATCGGGGAGAGGACTGTCTGCGTGCAGTGGGATTGAGACATGGTAGTGTTAGAGCTGACTAGGCATTTCTATGGATTAAATACCCTTGAAGGTCCCCGACAATATCTCGCCGTTAAACTGAATGTCATCGCGGGGTGATTTAGCCGATTCCATGGTGAGCGGAAGTTCACGCGTGAAGAGGTGTGTTTTCAGGGCTAGAACTCAAATATTAGCTATCAGGAGATATTCACGTCCCATGATTGACAGCTTCAACGCCAGGAGGTGATATTTTCGTATACTCAGGTGCAAGTTGAGGCGCTTATAGGCTGAATGTGGCAGTCATTACGACAACCACTGCCTCCGGTGTAAAACTACTATTTCGAAAAGCTAAAGCGCTTCCGTCTTTTGTCGATTCATGTATCGCTTTCATGCGTAGCCCCTCCTCTTTATTGTCGAGAAGTCGAGGCCCAATCAACGATCGGAAACCAGGGAATGCGTGCCTATATCTAACGTCGCGCAGCCAGTCAAACACCAGATTCATCTGATTCCGTGTAATGTCCCTATCATGGTCCAGACATGGCTGTAAACGCGTTGAAGTTGTACACCTTTGGCGTGTCCGTACAACAAAACTCGTCCAGCGTTGGTGTACATCTCGCGACGACTCCAACGTGCTCTCTGCTCAGCGTGACATGGGCTCCACGACCAACCTCCAAGGGCATCCACGTTTTCGTGACGCCAGCCTGCACAGCGTACTCATGTGATTGTAGCGTGAGTATCCCAGGACCGGTGGAGAAGACGACCACCCATATCTTGTCGTCTGTCTGCGGTACGTGAGTAGCCCTGTCGTTTACATGGATGAGAACATACCACTTGCCAATGCTCTGGTCTTTCTACACTATCATCTGACGCGTAAGCTGTCTTTAGATGAGGACGTGCCCATACAAATATCTTATCCTCCTTGATTGGCGGATATCTGCCTTCTTTGAATGCCAGCGCATAGTAGCTATTCAATGCGAGCCACGCGGTATGCGGAAACCCATCGACCCATGCTTGGGAATTAGGCTGTGCGCCTTTGATAGGGCCAATGTAGTGCGACTCGCCGTAGTCTAAGCGTGAGGTCTGCGCCACCGTAAAAGGAGGAAGAAAGATGACGGACCGTTCCACGATATGACCTGGACAATGTCGATGTCGTTGCGCCTAGCAATCAACTGTTCCCAGCGGCGAACGAAAAGCCAGTCATCGCCTCGGTAGACCCACTGCAGCATTTCATTCAGTGTGCGTTTCGTCAAAGACCCGGTTTTGCCGTACATTCTTATTCCAGGTATCTGGACCATAATGCTAGTACGCGCCGAATTTATTCGCCACGAATAGCCTAACGTGCTGAAGGCACGTACAGTGAAGAACCAGGGAGAGACGGCGGCCATGAACGTTTTGCCACCCAAGTGGCGGAGGTGATGGTCATCGACTTGAGCTTGGGCATTTCTATCTCGTGTTTGGGAGACTTCGCGTTGAGTGCAGCGGCCAACCACCATTCCACTATCAAAGGTGATTGAAATATTGTTACGATGTTTGTGAAGACGTACATTGAAATCACCATCGATGCAAGGCATGCGCAGATACACGGCTGGGTCAGAAAGAAGAGGGAATGAAATGGATCTGCCCGATAACTCAGAAGGCACATGTAAAGGAAAGAGGTAACTTCCAGGTGTGATATTCTCTAGAACACACTTACAAAGCTCCACCTTGTTCAAATGTCTCTTGGCCAAAATGGTGTTGTTCTCCGGAGAACGTCGACACGACAACTTTGCCGTTATACCGAAACATGCCAGGCTTATTGAGAATGCGCAGATATAGTCCAACAATAGGTTAACGTCATCGGCGGTGCTTCCTCTGATAGAGCTAGGGAGGATGGAATCTTAGTATAGGATTCAACGAGACAAGAATTACGCGCGCACTGCATGTCGAAGCTCATAAACTCTGAATGACGGCCGATCCTCGAGAGCGCGTCAAAACAGTCTGAGACGCGTTCCTTCTGCCATGGTTCGCAGCCTACATTCAGCACAAAGCCATCACTTTCAAGTAGAGTCGTCAGAACGGTTCTGCATCGGACTAATGTCGGACAGGCCCGGCCCATACAGGTTATTTTCGCTCGCCAGAATGATATCGTCCTCCCAATCGGTGACGGTATATGGCTGCCTCGGAAATTAACCTTTCCACAGGAATGATTGCCATCACATATGTTATCGACTTACATAGGTGTTTCCGACCATGAAACTGCGCTGTCATGAGAATATGGAAGCCTGGAGAAAGGTGTACTATGCGTACTGAGCAAAAACAAATTTCGACATGACTTGGGTGCTAGTGGTCGTGGTGAGTGGGACACACATTCCTACCAATTGGCAATGGGCAATGGAAAAAGAAAGCGATTGAGGGCTGAAATGAAACACGCGGATCTGTGGCGGCGGGAAGACAGTGTATACGCTAACAAGTTGCTCACAGATCTAGCTACTTGTACTTACGTGCGGATGATGGGTAACACTATTTATAAAAGTCTTTTAGTTATCCGATATGGTGTAACGGCTAACATTGCCGCCTTTCATGTGTTTAGTTGCGATGTCATTAGACGCGGCAGCTCGGGGTTCGATTCCCCGTATCGGAAGTCAAGCGTAACGATGCACTTTTTGGCCTGCGTAGTTAGGGTGGCGCAGTAAACCTCCCGGGGGTGTTAGTAACGGGTTACGGTATTGATACCAGTCCCCCAGGAGGCTCAGGTTTTGAAGCTGTTACTAACGGTTTCGATACCGGCACGTGTTTCGATGATGTGGCGCCGCGCCACGCCGCCTTCATCCCGCCTTAGTCCCGCCATCTCCAGGCACTCTAAGCGCCAGCGCGCCGGCACGTGCAGTAGTCACGTGCCAGCATTGAAACTTACCTCACCCGATACCGTTATTTACCGCAGTAAACCCGAGGTGTATCAAAACCTAGGGTTTACTTCACCACCCTAGGTGGCGCAGTAAAGTTTGGTGTTCAGGTTCACTTAACTTCACTAGGGTGGGCCCGGGGCCACCGTGCACTGCGCAGTACTAAGCGTCCCGGGGGTGTTAGTCACGGTATCGACCAGAGCCGAGCCCTCATTTTGAGACCGTTAGTAACGTTTTCATTACCGGTATATGATGTGGCGCACCACCTTTGTCCACTGTCCCGTCGCTGATGCCACGCCGTCATGTAAGATGATGTACCGATAGATATTATTGAGAATCGCAGTAAATCCTTTAATGTCTACCAGGTAGGTATCGAAACAACAGCTCTCGGACTGCTGCACTAGATTGCAAGTGTTTTATCTACTGTACTCACATCTATGACTTACACCGCGGTTGAAGCGTTACGCTCTGGTATAAGCCCCTGGACCATCACCTTATACATACCCCAAAGTCAGTGTTACACCTGCTGTATTGCTGTAGCCTTATACAAGTGTACAGCAGGTATTCGACCAAATCACAGTATTCGACCAAACAACAGTACCGAATACCGACGCGCAGACGAAGATTCGAGCGCACTACAAAAGCAATGCTATTTTGAAGATTAGCAGTGCCATGGAGAAGAAAATTTACATTCTTACGCATTTTTTCGATGCTTTTTGGCGCGTAAGGCACCCCGACCTCTACATCGACCGCTCCATTATGTGTTACGACCTCCTAAGCTTTACACACAACGAACCCTGTGTTATGCATTACGGTATAAGTCATGCATGCGAGTACAGAATTGCATACATATCTGCCGCCATTTAAACCAGTGTAGACTCAATATTGACTGTTATGCAAGAGTTTTACTTTTGTGCTTCAATGGTGGAGCACTGTGCGACGTGTAGTTCGAGGAAGGAAGATGTGTCTACACAACGTAGATCGTGTGAACCCTCCAATACTAATAATCGTAAAAACCCTTCCCACTCTTTTTCCCATACCACCCGGCGTCAACCATCCTCTCCAATAATATGCTAGGTCGGTACTTGGAGTCCCGAGTACCATCATATAATGTTTGCTGAATCGCTAAGCATGTATCAAGGCCGATACTGGAAAAAACGTAAATCAGTTATGTCCTTTGGCGCAAGTGAACTTTAAGAGAGTACTCCAACGAACGTGTACTAAAGGGCAGGAAGAGACTAGACTCACAAATCAGCAAGTTGCAGTGGTCCCATGGGATGATTCATTCCCAGTTTGAGAGTGGTGTCAATGTCATCTCTCGTGGCGGTTCCCTAGTACCTTTCGTGAGGGGACGAGACGCGAAGAGACGCAGAGAAGAACCTTCTCGAGACACATAATGGCCTGTGGAAGTCGTAAGTCAAGAATTGGGGCAGCCAATATTGTTCCCGTACCTCATTAATGAATGGCATTAGCAGAGCGTTAGACACGAAGCCGGGAACGTCTTTGGACACAGTGACAGTCTTTCCGGCTGCTATCGCGAATGCTCGGGCGCGATCCAAAGTGTCTTGGGATGTTTGTAGCGCAGAAATCAATTCAACGAGTTTCTGAGAAACAGTTAGTTAGAAAGTCGCTGATGAGACGCGACAGACCATGACGGGGACTGGGTTGAAGAAGTGAAGCCCTTGAAGATGATTAATGTTAAGAGTCATCGACGCGTATACCGAACTTACCAACGACACGTCCAGCACTCTTCTTGCCCTCTTCGCTGGCGGCGCTGACACCCGCGGGAATGGCCGCTGCTGCAATCTTGGTGATACTAATAGAGCTCGTGTTTGACGCCAGGATGGCACTCGGAGACAGTTCCTTGGTAAACGAAGCAAATATAGATCCCTTGAGGGCGAGTTTCTCTGACACCGCCTGTTCGAGTAAGCTACGCTGGCTCCGGATTTACGGCAAGAACGTACTTCTACACCATGTCAACATCGCGGAATCCCTTGATGTCGTTGACGGGGGTAATTCTATCCTTTGCCTCCTTTGCCTCTTCGCTGTTATGCGGCCTTTTGACACGTCTTTTTCCAGAAGTTTGTCGGCAAATGCGAGCCCTTTCGTTACTTGCTCCTGCGACCGGTCGTGGAGGAGAACGGGTACTTTGGCTCGCAAGGCCGACACAAAGGCTATCCCTAAACCCATCTGGCCTGCGCCCAAGACGCCCAGTGTCCGAATTCCGTGGCTGATCATGGTTGTGGTCTGTGGTCAAGTGAATTCACGTGAAACCCCGCTAACCGAGTCTGGGGTTGATGAAATGACATCACTATATTTGAATGTCTTCTTGCCACCATGACTAGCACGCTTCCTCCACTTTTGCAGGCTGTATCTGGCGCCATCGGTAGCGCGTCGGCAAACGCCCTTACCTACCCTTTGGATTTAGTCACAACGCGTTTACAACTTCGTCCACCATCAGCCAAGAAGACATGGGTGTCATTGCCGCCAACAAGATCCTCCAGCATATCGTCAGTCGGTACGGTATATCCGCCCTTTACGATGGTCTTTCGACAGACACCTCTGCTACACTGCTATCCAAGTATGCCATTCCATTACTTGCCCATAGTGAAACTAACCCTGCCAACAGTTTTCTCTACTTCTACGTATACTCTTATCTTCGAAACTTCATGCTTCGATACCGCAATGCCAAATCCTCCCTGTCTCTGGGAAATGAGCTTTTACTTGGCTTTGCTGCCGGCGTAGCATCCCGTGCTGTCTCCATGCCTCTCAACCTTATTACTCTGCGGCTGCAGACCGAAAAACAAGAAGCCGTAGATGATGATGAGGACGAGATTCCAGATTCCAGACCTCCGGCTACAGATGTCTTGTCAGTCGTGAAGCTCATTTACTCTGAACGAGGACTACTTGGTTTCTGGCGCGGTATGTCTCTCGTACTCGAGCAATCCTTCCAATAATTTTGAGCAGGTTTTGAGACAACTATACTGCTTTCCCTTAATCCGTCGATAACCCTCGCATTCTTCCAGTTCTTTCTCCGCATTAAGCGCTCTAATGCTCTCAAACCTTCCGCAAAGGAAGCTTTTGTAGGTGGCGCTATATCGAACTCGATCGGTACGCGTGCCCTTCATGTTGATTGTCTTTGCACTCACCTCATCAACAGCCATCGCCCTTCTGTATCCTCTCATTCTTGCCAAGACGCGTCTTCAGGCGAGCAACAGGCAATCTAGTCTGGTGACCGTACTCGACCACGCATCAAGATCACGCACGTTGTATCAAGGTCTAGACATGCAGATTGTCAAAGGTTTCTTGAGCCAGGGCGTGACCTTCTTGATAAAGGAGAGGTATGTCGCGTTTACATATCGCGTACTAAGCTGACAGAAGGATCTGTAGAATAGAGCAGGCAGTGGTTAATATGTATCTGCGGAGAAGAAGCCGGATGGCCTCGAGATAAGCAATCCGGACTTTTTATAAGACATGTACGCGTGAAACTTGACTGTCGTTCTATCGTTTCGTGCGTTGGTTTGAAGTCTGCTTTAACACTAAGTCGTTCTGTTCTGCTGACAGTGCTGTACAGTCAAGTTCTGTCGAGTATCTAGAATCGTCTCTGAATTTAAAGCTTTTACGCTTATCCCGATGTGTCGGGTTATATCTCGCGCCCCGCAGGTACCAAAAGCTGTGGGGACTCCAATACTGGCAGAGGAGTATGCTGTTGAGGAACGTTGAGGTGTGCAGATAAGTTCCGTGGGCTATCGCTACAATACGTGGCGATGGCACGAATTCAGAGAGGCGCTTACTCAAAAGGGTTTCATATTTCATAGGACGCGATGAACAAGTAGGTCTCCTGAATGTCAAAATCTCCAGCACCTGCATGAAACGCGACCCAACGCACGCAGTCTGACGAAGCTGCCCAGAGCCTCATTTGTCGAGCACGACAGAAGCCGATCGTCAAATTCTAATTATATCCGAATCAACTCCGGAACAAGATGGAAAAAATTCAGGCATAAAAATGCCTGCGCGCAACAATTTCCAATCCCTTCTTCTTCCCTCCCACCTCTATCTGTAGAAAATCCCGCCTTTCCTTTCGTCATGTTCGCCCGCACACTCGTTTTATCGCTCATCGCAGCGCTCGCCACAACCGTACTTGCCCATGAGACGAACGCTGACCGGTTCGCTCGCGGACTGACGCCTCTCCGCCCCCGACGACTCTTTACGTCTGGACATCATGTTGGCACGTCGCTCTGCATTTTCGAGGAGTCCTTCCAACTAAACGCATCCTCTTATCACAGCCCGGACTCTGCCTTCTGGAGTTGCATGGTTCGTTGCATCTTCTCGTGTAGTTGCACATCTAAAACGATATTGTTAGCTCTAATGACGCTCTGGAGGGCTACATTGCTCTCCGCTACACCAACGGTGACGGTCTCCTCGGCTACTTCAACGACGACACCAGCTCGTGCAGCTCGGATTCGAGCAAGGCCGCCAAATTTGAATATCCTGACGGCTGTGACACCAAGACTTTCATCAAGCGCTTCGGCGTCGTGAGTCATCCCTCCTTGTCATACCTGAGCCAATGTCCTGAAGGATTTTATGCAGAACCTCTACATCGGTGCCGTCGCCCGGTCTGTTGATGTTGTCAAGTCTGTAGTCTCCGATGTCTCCAAGCTTATCTTTGGACGATCAGAGTCCTCGTCTGATGCGTTCTGCTTCACCGGTTCCAAAATGGTCTCGGAACTTTGTGAGC